TTTAATAAGTGATTTTGCAGTCAAACATGTCTAGTGGGGGGGGGGGGAGGGGGACGGTGGAGATGAAAGTCTCAAACCAGTGAGTTTAACAGTATATCTGAGCTTTGAAAATCGTGAAAATCCGTTCTGAAATCTTCAAAACCGCTTCCGTTTTCTAAGAAACCCTTTTTTAATCAAAAATTATAAAAATATGAGAGATATAATATAAGACTCCCTAAATTTTTTTCCCTTGAACATAATAGAAGACTCCGGATCTTTTATTGTGGACGGAGCGGGCTATAACAAAACAGAACTTTAGTATAAGATGCTAACAATTCGAACAAATTGAACAAGCTTTGTTTTTTTTTGTTCTTGTAATATACGGTCGAGTAGACTATAACAAGGGGTGAGATTGATGCCAATTTTAAATTTCTAAACCAATTGAAAATTATTTCAATACATGGTTTTCTTTTTGGAGAAACGGCTAATTTTTCGAAAATAAATTGGAGTTTTCCATTTTTACTATTGTGAATCATTTAATTCGTCACTCGATACATTTAAGATAATTCGTGGACTTTATGAGAAAAAAAGACACAGGCTTAGAGAGTTCTTCCGAAATCTGTCATGTTTTCTTTTCGTAATAAGTAAATTAAGAAATAGTCTGTATTCACTTCAAAGACAGTTATAACATTATATATTTGTTCTTATTCGAAGAAAAATAGAACAACTACTCTTACAGCAATAGTTCTTAGTTGTCAAAAATGAAACACAAGTGCTCTGTATGTGAGAACAGTTTTCCGGAAGAAATTAATTCTGGTTCTGCTTGAAGAAAAAACACTTCTAATTTACCATGATTTAGTGTTTTTCGATGAGAATATAATAAATCTTGTAATCCTATCCAACTTTTCTGGCTATAAGAATTAAGATCATTTTTTCTAGATCCTAAACATTATCGAAGAGGAATTTAAATACGCGTCATTTTTTTTATTCCTGTTTTTCTCGATTGTGAAGAAATTTCAATGAATGACACCAATGGAATAAGACGATTAAAAATTGAGTTCTCTTTTAACGGCAATTGAATATGGTTCTCATAGTCCGTTCGAAAAGCTGAGCCAAATAACCTATATTTTGGAAAGACCTTTTTAATCGAATATTATTCTTAGACTTTCTTCGTACTATGCTTTTTCCTTGATCATGATTGTCATCTTTATTTGGCATACGAAATATATTTTTATGCACTTAAATGATGTCGATGATTAACATTTTTACGGCCGAAAAATATGTCAAATAAAGCTTGTTAGTGCATCCCCTTTGGAGCTGACATATGGAACTCACATAAGCTCTCTAGCCTCATTAAACTAATACAAAATACGTAAAGTGATAAATCTGTCTTAGACTATAGCTATTTTTCAGAATAATCGACATCCAGCATAATGACCTCTCTAATTCCTGCGTTTCGAACAGAGTGTTTTTTTCTGTGGGCGCTCTATTTTTGTCTGTATTCTTGCTATTCGCTCATTATTTTTTCTTAATTTAAGATTCTTATTATTATACGCATTGAAATAATTGACAAATAAGTCTGTTTTACATATTCATGGTATCTACAGCAGATCTTACGCATTACCATATATATAAATCAACTCAAAAATAATGATATTCATTATTTTACAAAATTATAGCTTCATCAATTTAAAAAAAAACTCTAGAAAGTTTGACACCCATTACTCTCGATTGCTAAGGTCTGTAATGGAGAGCGAAGGGAGGAGCGCGAAAACTTGACCTTAAAACTTACGCTCACTATTTTCTTTGAAAATGTGTGTGTTCGACAAAAGAAATGCGTACTTATGATGTTTAATGCACACCATTTAGGATCGATGAAATCAAATTAACTCAGCTATTGGGCTAAGAAACTGGATCAATTTATTAAGCTTACAAGGGCATATCAGCATAACTCAGCCTCTTTGTCTTGAACATATGAAATTGAAATAATTCTAACTTACTCGTCAGAACATACAAAAATGAAAAACTTAATCTTGCACAATTTTCATATCGCCAATCTCTATTTTATCTTCTTTTCCATTGAGTGGTGCACAGGTGTGTTAACAATAAGCGTAGCAGCAATCGAAGACATTGCTGTTTGGGTGGTAATAGCTGTGGCGAGTGCTTTCAGCAAAGGCGGTCCAGCTATACAAGGTCTCTACACTCTTCTTCTCGCTTGTGCTTTCATTCTTATTATGTTTATGATCGTCCGTCCACTGCTCTCGCTTCTTCACATTTATTATCTTCGCCGAAACGATGAATATAATATCTATTTTATTGTTGTCTGTCTACTCATTCTTGTTGTTGCATCACTCATCACTGAAGTTATCAATATACATGCATTTTTTGGCGCATTCATTGCCGGTCTCATTATTCCACGTCGACAAAAGAAGGGCACTATACATGATTTTTTAGCGCTTCGCATTGAATTGTTTATCATCGAATTTTTTCTTCCACTTTACTTCACAAATTCGGGATTAAAGACACATTTGAACATGTTGCATACGGGTCGAGCATGGTACACACTCGTCGCCATTATTTTCATTGCATCTCTTAGCAAAATAGTACCTGTAGCACTGATGACCAAACTGGTGACGAGAAAAAAAGAGACATGGTCCTTTGCATTAGCTGTTGGCATTCTAATGAATACGCGAGGAATCGTTCAATTGACCGTGCTCAACATTGGCGTTGAATTAGGCGTGCTTTCACCTGTTATCTTTGCTATTTTCATCGCAGCTGCTGTTATCATGACATTTGCTACGTCACCACTTCTCTATTTAGTCTATGGCAGACACAGGCCTACTAAAACAAAACAGTCCACCCAAATTCAAATGAAAAAGACTGAAGTACAGAAACGGTAACGTCTCTACACGAATCCGATCGACAATCGACAATCAACACCATTTCGAAAATTACGTCTCGAATCACCCTCTACATCTCCTCATTCTTTTATTCGTGTTCATTCGAACAGATTGCCTACAGGACAGTGGCAAATTTGTAGGGAAATCGGTCCTAATTGAAAAGTCGACCTATCATACATAAACTGCAGAAATCGAGTTCTTAATCTGAGAAGAATACTTATTCTCTCCATAAGAGTACGAGTTTTGGTTGAATTTTAGTTCCAATAGAATGATGGAAGTATGATCTAACCTATAAAGAATATGCGAAACATTTTTACTTGCAAGCAAAACAAAAAAAATCAAGTGTCACATATGCATCGATAAGGTATTGAAAGCTAATTAATTCCATGCATGAAACAAGGGTGAATGTGGGATGAGTATGGATGTTGGCCAGCAATGTTGAAGAGCTGAGAAGTAGATATTCTTAGGTTGTCAACAAACTGTCGATGGAACTGTGATAATTTCACGAGGAAGCGAGGATTAACCATGAATTACCTCACAGTTTCGCCATTCATAAAAGCTAAGGGTGTGAGTGTGAGTATTCATGGGAGTGCGTTGGTGTAGGATGTATTTGTAGTGACTGTAAGAGAAGAGGACGGTGTGCTCAGCTTTCACCGAAATTTACATGCATACTTTAAATAACAACGAAATTTATGAATGAAACTATATCAATGCAAATAAAATGAATTATCAAAACTAGGTAGTGTATCAATGAAGGCTACATATTTTCGAATTTTCAATCATGAAATACTGTTTTTTGTTGCAAGGGAGTTACTGCTTTGGTCCTCAAAGGGTTGGAGGTTTTTATTTTACTTCAGAGGCACGAATTTCAGCATATAGTCTAACTAGTTTTGAAAACTCGCAACATGTGCATCAATATAGTATTATTCATAAAGTTATTATTGATTTCCTTGAATATTCTCTTAGATGACTGCCGAATATTATCGATGAAACGCCTCATGTGTGATTTTTTAGCTTGTCGGTGGATGAAATTTCTTTAGTGAAACCGATAATATGATTTAAAGAGAATATTGTTTTTACGTTATTTTCATACAAAAATTGAAATAAGAATATCTCTTGAACTGTAAAGTCAGTCTACTCAAGCGAACTGAAGCAGAAATATTTCAATATTTTGTAGTAGTGCTATTTCGAGGCCCACTCGTTGAAACAGAAATATTTGACTTCCGATCTTGTACTCGCGTTGTTATTTTTGAGTAAATGATGTGTCACAGATTCATATTATCGTATATTTTTGCCAGATGAACTCAGTAAAGTGTGTCCAAATTCAAATGTAAATAGATGAAATCTACATACAAAACAATGACTAGCTATAAACTATCAGAATGGCGATAGATATCAGCACTACCTGATGATTATGTTCACACAAAAAGCTTCTTGGATTTGATTTCAGTTACATTTCAGAATATATGTAGCACTGTGGGTGCCAGTGTTCTTTTCTATATTTTTTGCCTTCACGATTGAGCTAAACGCTGCTCGCAAAGCCGACGCCTTACTTGTATTCTTCTATTTGATTGATTTAAAACAATTGAGGTGAACACTTCTTCGGATTAGTCAATTCTCACTTTGAATCAAAAAGAATTCTAAAGCATGTAAAAAGCCGTTTCAAATAAGAATGATCAACATTTAAAAAAGGTAAAACAACAGTTTCGTGTATCTTCTCTTTTCTTATCTATAATATTATGATTTCGGATGCACAATCATTTTGTGTATTGGATGCTTACATGTTGTACAAATTACAAGCGCAATAGTGAAAAGAATTTCTCTTTACTAATTCAAAGACAAAACCTCATCGAGAATACAAACGATTCTCCCGATGTAACGCAGATCTCAATGTGACATTAATTTTTACCATATTCTTTATCAAATATGAAAAGATTGGTTAATTATTATCGAATTTCTCAAGCATATATGTTTCTGTTTGATATCATGTCATTTTAATAATTGATCAATATATAGCAAGAACAAGTAAGAATAGAAAGATAACAACAGAGTCGGACACAAAAAGAAAATTAGTCTTAGTGGCAGGGTACGATCTGTAAAATTATTATTGCTCTTGTGTCATTATATAAATAATTTACATTCGCATGTTATTCGTTCAGTTTTCTTACCATACGTAACAATATCTTCCAACATCATTATTAGTTTGTTGAGCTTACTTTCCTTTAGGAATTTCAAGGATGAAATAATAACGAACATAAATGGGAGTGCCAACGAGTAATAATCATCACGAATGACAGATGCTTCGTAGTGCGAAACCCCGTACTTTACCAAAGTTTGATGATACAGTTCAAGAAGTAGTAACTCGAGTGAACGAGCTCGATTAATGTCGAGTAAGCGTAGAAGAAACACGATATCGATTAATCCATTGGCGCGACAACAAGTCTGCCAATCAAATAGTACTAATCGATGTAATTGATTACGTCGTAGGAAGATATTATTGATCCAAAAGTCACCATGCGATAAAGTGTAATGTTCATCGGTAAGTGTTTGAAAAAGATGTGGAATATGTGTAACAAGTGCTTGGGCATAAGTATATGCTTCATGTGACACTCTTGATTCTAATAACTGTGTGAATTCTCTATCGGCCATCTTTAATGCATACTGACTATAATAGTGTGTAAGTGTTGAATTTAATGAAGGCAACCATGCGAACATCTCTTGTCGTAACAATGGATGATTGAAAAACTCAGCATGTACAGATGCGATTGAGGCAATTAGAAGAAACAGTGTGGAATCTGCTAGCGACTCTTTTGAACCTAATGGATCATATTCTATAGAAAGATCTTCAAGAAGCAGTAAGCTTTCTTTTGGAGAATTAGGATGACGAGCAACGTAGTAACATTTAGGAATGTCGATATTAGAGACTCGTGGACCAAGTTTTGCATAAAATTCTGGTTCGATTGAAGCAACACGCCCTGCCCAAACGCCAGTTGATAGTTTTAATATCAGAGATGATGGCAAACAATCGTTACTATCAGGCGAGTACTGGATATCGTAAAGACGATACAAAGAACCATTCCAACCTTTTCCAACACCAATCTGTTCAAACATAAAGGAGTTTACTTGTATTGACGAGTTCGAATATGCAGAGAGCATGAATGAAAGAAGTTCAGGCGTTAGCTCGGTGATATCATTAGGAAAGACAGGGAGAGCTGATATCATAGTGGATCGTGTGCTCCACAACTGATGTTGTATGATATAGGTGGTGATCTTGTCAAGTTGAATACATAAGTTAAGTTGTTCAAATGTTGTAGAGGTATTGCGAGCACAGGCTCGAATTATACTAGAGGAAAGATTCATATGTGTTGCTTGAACTAAATGAAACCTAGCAGATAAGAAAATATGAATGTGGAATTATTTGAAAACTAACAACCTACTTTTCTGGAAAAGAGGATAAAGCTTGTATTTCTCGCCAACGTCTTTCATGATAATCTTGAATAGATTTGAGTTCATTATTTTTGTTAACCATGTTCTCATTGCATCGTCGATTTAGAACATACACCGTACGAAATCCTAATCGAATTAAATTATCAGGTGACCTAGTATGAAATAGCGCGTCTTCTCCTCTTAACCAAAATACATCGATTCGGGCTCCGTTAGGAAGTTGTGAGTGAACACGTGAAATAAAAGCTTCCATAACAATACCTAATGAAGTTTTGCATGGCTGAAACATTTCAAACAAATCTACCATGACCCAATCGAGATTTTCAATTGCAAGATAGATCATTGATAGACGATGTCCGGCTCCAATTAATTCATCTGGACTTAATTTCTTTGCAACATATTCAGAATGGGAAGGAGATATATATGCAGCCAGTAATTCATGTGTACCGAGATTATTAATATACTGTTTTGCATTTTCCAGAACACTAATATGACCTGCATGAATTGGAACAAAAGTGCCATTATAAAAGCAGATAGCTGGAATTAGATTTGTGTTAGGGACTTTTAATCGGTCTTGAGAAAGAATCCATATGTTATTTGGTTCTAGCCAAGTTTTTATCGATGACGGTACAATAGAGGCAGAAGTCGTAATGTCTTTTAATTCCATTGGTTATATTTAAAGCTACGAATATTTACTGCAATGAAAGAAAAAACAGCTACGTAGAGTGTCATATTGTTTTCAAATAGAAAAACGTTACTAAAAGATGAACAATATCAGAGAACATAAATAAAAATAAATAGTTGTTACTCTTTGTACTATCCCTTGACGTTTTCTTACCACTATGGAGACAAAAGATTACAATTTGTCTCAAATTTATTCCACTAAAATAAAAATAAACATTTACCTTTCCTTCGGTTTTTATAAGAAAAAATAAATAATGCAAATGACTTACTGTTTGATGACGCAGTAATTGCATCAGTTTACCGTTTTCTCACCAAACGAAAAAACACTCACTACTAATGCAAAAGAGAACAAGAAAAATATTTGTCATTATTACTCAACATATGCAGAAGAAAAAAATAAAAATAAACGTGGCAGTATTTTTTCTCATTAAGTTGTGCCCCACAGACTGGAGCACATTTATTTCAAAGTTTTTGTCCTCAATGTCAAAAGGTACAAAACTCCATCGAATCCTTTACATTACTCAAAAAAGACCAAGGTCGATTTTCTAGAAAAAAATTGTCCTAAAAAAGATTGCTCGAACTTTTCAATATGACGTAGTCAATCGATTCAATTATTTGTCTAGTCATATTTTTTGTTACTAATATAACTTCAATGTAAATTTCAGTCAAATTTTTGTCTCACACATTATAATACCGTATAGCACTTTGAATGGTCACATTAATACAAGCAACGAAATTTTCTAACGTTTTCAGCTGTTTATTATTTTCAGGAAAAATATGTGTGACTGTGTCATAGCAAACTTTCGATACATTTGTGTTGCCTTATAGTTTCGATCTATGTCTTTTGTATATTTTAACAAAACTCGAAAGAATAGGGGTGTCGACTTAGCATTAGTGTTAAGAAAACGCTAACGCTTTTGTATTAAAATTAAAAAATTCACTTAATGCTTTTGCATTAGTGTTAAAAAATAACTTAATGCTTTGTTATTAGTATTAGAAAAGTATTAACTTAACGGTAATGCTTATAGTTCCCACAAACAGAACAAAATTGTTCTCTCATGGGAATTTTTTCCCATAACAGAACAATTTCGTTCTTTTTTTCGGGAGCGGCTTCCCATAATAGAACAAAAATTGTTCTGTTTTGGGAAAAAAATTCTCATAAGCAACCAATTTTGTTCTGTTCTTGGGAACCCTAAGCATTACCATTAGATTAATACTTTTCTAATACTAATACCAAAGCATTGAATTATTTTTTTAACACAAATGCAAAAGCATTAAGTTAAATTTTTAACTCTAACACAAAAGCATTAAAAATAGTATTAATTAATGCAATGCTAATGCTAATCTGACACCCCTACGAAAGAATCGTTATGAAACTTGCTGATGGTGTTAGTGTATGTGAAAGTATTCTCCTCATTCACACTTATCCACACTTACATCCACATCCACACACATACTCTTAACAAGTTAGCTTTATTAGCAATTAATCGATGTGATTCAAACTTTTCGTGTACATATTAGAGACCATTGCAATTACAATGCTGAACGAATTTCAGTTTTAGACCTTAAACATTGATCATGAAAAAGAAAGAGTTACATATTTCAAAATCCGTCTGGATTCAATTAATTGATTAAATTAATCGTAATCTAAGAATTTTAAAATATCAATTTGAAAAAATTCGTTATAAAATCTTTCAAATTTTTATCCAACTAAGAAATGAAATACGCTTGAAACTGCTTTCTTTTATATTGAATAAAACTACAATATGATTTCTTCAACATTCGTCGTAGATAGTATCTCTTATATGCCACAGATTTTTGATTGAGTGCTTGAAATTTTTGTGTTTATTATAGAGTGGCAAATCATAGTTTTTTTAGACTTCGAAAGCATATAGTTCACTTGCATTACAGTATCATTCGTTCGACTGCTATGAAATAGTATATGTTTGTTATCATTCATAATGATGTTCTTTATTTAAATTGAAAAAAACAAAATTCAATTAGAAAAGTAGAATAAAATCTGTGTTGGATCTTTTTATATTTTGTATTTGATTCATTTGAAACGTATTGATAACAAAAAAATAAACTTCCGGGATTATCGCAAATTAAGTCATTTGGAAATTTGGCATGAAAACTTATTTTATACTTTATAGATGTCTCATTTATTTAGCTATGGCTATGCTAGAATGACTCAATTTCGTATACTTCCAAATTCTGTGAATGGTCGTGGGACATGTGTAAATATTTCATCAACCAATTGAATCCTATGATCATCAGTCCATCTATTATTTTCATGTTCGTCCACTTATTATCGATTAAGTAACTCGGTTGCTAATATAATGAATTCTTAGTCGGCATGGTCGATTCCCTATTCAAAATGTATCTCTTCATAAATATTGTGTTCGTAACACAACAAAAAGAGATAGTTATTGATACTTCAGATATTTCTTCAAATGGATGGTATGAAAGAGATCAAATAAACAGTATGAGAAGAGGTTTAGCCGTTCTGTTTGAGCCAATATTTTTGTTTCACAAAGCTTAATCAACGCCGTGTTGAAAAATATAATCTTGAAGAAGAATTAGTAGTGCTTCAGGAACAATCAGGACAATGTGAAACAAGTGTTGATCTCGAGATGTATCATTTACAAATAGAACGCATTACAAGTGAAATAAATTTCATTGAAGCAAAAATGAATTTTCTATTTCATACGTAAAAAACTTGTTACTCGACGTAACTTTGTACTTCTTTCAGTTGAAATTCCAACTAACTTCAAACAAATGCTTCACCATTTAGGATGTAATTAAGAAAAACGAATATGAAGAACACTTAATCAAGATCTTCGTGGAGATCTTAATAGTTTATAAATGATATGATTGACATAATCAGATTTTTCATTTTTACTAGAAGAAACACAAAGGTTTTATTTCTGGTTTAAACGCATCACTTGTTATAGTTTTTAAGGTCAAGATTTAAAACTGACATCAATACCATCTTCACTCTGAAAGATTTTCTTGTCTGTCTCTTGCTTGACTATCCCTTAATTCTACAAAAACAACTTATGATTATATCATTGCAGTGCATTACTTTAATGTCAACAATGATATTGACTATTAAATCAAACTATATGCAAGTCATAATTTTATGTTATATGAATGTTTGGCATTTAGATCTATTCAAGGATCATTTGTTTTTTCTGATAAGCATTGCATGTCGATTGCGCATTCTAATTTTAAGCAGTTATTGCTGTGGATGTGGATCTGAGCGAGGTAATTTGTAGTTCCACAATTATTGATAATGGTTAGTCATATTATTATCTTCTTTATACTACTGCATTTGTTGTAATAATTCATCATTGGAACAAACAAACTGACTCTTCTTGCTATAAATCAACCTATTTATTGATTAATCCTTCATTGTTATTGTCAGACCCACATGGGCCTAGCTTTTACCGTATTGTTTCTCAATACATTCGTACTGACCATTTGAGATTGCTACTCTTCTCTAATCGCTAGTCTGATTTGAACGCAATTAGTCCTTGTAAATCTTACATGTTGGATATAATCACTTCACCTGCATACTTACCTTCCTACCCATACTCACACATATAACCTGCCAAAAGAGATGCTTATATACATACATATTTGTTTATAAATAAGACAGTAAAATGGCATACCATTTTATCATCAATAACGATTCCTCTAATTGGTCGTATTGGTCTGAAATATTGATTTCATGTGAGGCATCTAAAAGAATATATTAAGTCTAGAACCGATTTAAATCGATCTTGATTTATCTGATAAAATGTCTATTCCTTAAAATAATCGGCAAAATGTGAACAATCCAAACAGATCATCTATAGTGGCTTTCGCTTGGAAACAAGACTCAGGGCAAAAAATGTGACTTGATCAGAAAAACAATGTTCCAGTAATCAAAAATTAATGTTAAGGAGAGCCTTAGAAAAAGTGTTTAGACTCTTAGCACCACCTAGTGCATTAGTGTGTTCGCCATTTGATATTGATTCGATGATTCATTCGCATGTGATAGTATTAGATGCGAACGATTCCAGATCGGAAGCCACGATCCGCGATATTGACTTTGATTCTCCAAAAAAATGCTTATTGCCGATTCCGATTCAGTTTCTAAAAAAGCCAACTTTGTCCAACCCTACATCACATACTAGTTGTGAATAAAACAGCCGGCTACAATAAAAAAGGTATATCCAATTACACTATGATGTCTATGCAACAGAAATTAGCCTAGTACCTGAACAACAAAAAGGAAACATGTCTATGGCTGGTTCTACATCTAAAATATTTGTTAAAGTACGCATATAAATAATAATATATTGCTTTTTCCGCTCGGCTGACCAATATGCTTCACTGAATTTAATTCTTCCTATGATGAGAAATAAATATATAACATCTAGTCACATATTGTAAATTAAAATCATGATATAATGATTATATTTATTTTCCCATTCAGTACTTATTCAATTAGTTTTAGTCTGCTATAAAAACCAGCAGGATGTAAGTAGTTTAGCAGAATCGACCAATATCCACATCCTTCAGTTTGAGTAAGTTATGAACGATTTTGGTTTCTGATTCATAAGGAGTTAGACTTCTCTTCGTCACAATCTTTGTTATCGTCACTTCAGATTGGTGAAATGCTGCATTTCTTTACGTTCAATTTATTCTTCCTGTTGTGCCAGAATAGTTTGGCTGCAATCACATTGATCTTAGGCCAATCGAGAAAATTAAAAACAATCAAATGAACCCAGCTATCAGTCGAAATTGCCGCAAAGCACTCAGAGCAACAGCATGCAATTTTCGTCGATAACTTTTTGGAGTTAACATAAAGACAACAAACGTCAATGTTGACGGAACAAACGCTAAAAGATAACTGAAGAGAAAGAGCCATGAGTCTCGTCTGGATCTCATGCAACCAATCGTGAAGGCGATGACTAGACGTGGCAAATCTAATAC